CGAAATGCACTAAAATGCAAGATTATTCACCCGGTGAACTAGGTCACCTTCCCCAGATCAGAACTCTCCGTTCACTTAGACATGTTAAGAAGGCAGGCCTCCGACCAATAAAAATAAGAAGTTGTAAAGTTGTAAGGGAAAGTTTGAACATTATAAAAAATAGTTGTATAAAAAATTTTTAATAAACTTCTTTTAAAAGGTTTTTCATAAAAAAATACATTTTTTATAAAAAAAGGTAGGTTTAAGAAGTGGCTGCCGCAGTGATTCATCCATCTTTCCTTAAAAAAGCATGTCAGAAAACTTGATCCAAACTAAGGAGAGTAATACTGATATACGTTCTACTGCGAAATATCTTACATAATAAAGATAGTGTACTAGTACATGAAGTACTGTATACCCCAAACCAAACAAACTGTACATTGAAATATTAAATAATAAATAAACTTATTTAATTTATTCTGAGATAGCCTTAAGTTCCTCGTGTTTGCCGTGGGAAACGGCTGTAGAAATGCGGATAACAAGATCAACAACTAAGACTACTATGAAAATGTGACAATATGACATAGACCTTAAATATTGTCCCTGCACACACCGTGCACAGACGTTTCTTTTCCCGTGTCGTCCTTGCAAATGAGCACCGACAATTTGGACCTTGGCCTGAATGACTGTAGCCCAGTCGCTTCAACGTCCTCCTCTGAGATTGATGGGCTTCTCTGGTCTGCTGATGTTGTACAGAGCTTGGATCTCATCGGTCGTAACCTGGATGTTAGCCTCCACCACATGCTCCATCATCCTCTCTCTACTCTCACCCAGAAGACGCTATCTGCTGCCGGTCCCCCGCTGACTGCACGTCTTATGGCTTTCATACCATTCACGGTAAACACGAGAGACGGCGGTTTTAGAAAATCCCAAGCTCTGCACAGTTTGTGAGATGCTGCAGCCGGCGTTGTGGACTCCCACTATCTTCCCCGTTCAAATTCACCCGTGACTTCCCGATGAATCACAGTCGCAAAATATCCTGGCGTCTGTTTATGTTTGGTGTGGCGTGTTGTCTTCTTCTTTTCCACTTAAGCCAACCTAGAAGTCTGCATTAAGGAACATCACTGCCACCTACTGCATCAAGTGTATAATTTACCGCGTTCCACATTTAAATTCAGTTTTAAACAAGATTTTATTGTATTTCATTATCGACATATTATATATCCAATATATATATTCCATAGCAAAGTGGGCCGGGTTTGGGCATGAAACACCCGGGCCGAAAAAGGGGCCCACTCCGGACCTGGATGTAGGTAAGACATTTGACCGAGGCAAGCATCTTGACATGCATCAAGTGTAAGTTATTAGAGAGATGCGGTGGAAAAAAGCCGGTAATTTTTCAAAATAAATCATCGTTCAGAATTAGATAAAACAGAAATAATGACTAAAGTCGAAGTCATGTGACTCGTGTCTGCACTTCTGAGGGTAGGTATAAAATATGAAATTAAATATAATACCTTTCCTTCCAGAACAGATGGACCAGACACCTGTGTACACTAATATTTAACCTTTTTATTTTCACACAGATCGTTTCTGTACTTCAATCATTAACTGGACAGGATCTCAACAACTTCAAGAAACTGCATGTAGCTACAGAACTGCAGTCATTACAACAACATGTAAACAGGCTCTATACCATGTGGCAGCAGCAGCAGCATCATTATATACGTTTACTAAATACTACACGTACATTCCTGTTGGAAGAAAACTCCACTGGATCAGCAGAGACATGGACAAATATAAAGGACAAAAGTCGGAAATCCCTTTTTATGGCCTGGTTGAGTAGGTTCTACGGCTGATGAGTTAGTCAATGCAACACTTGTGGCATATATTATGTCAGCTGTTCATCTCAGACTATTTTAGGACTTTTACATCAAAAGTTGTGTAACATATTTACAAGGACAACAAAAGTGAATAAGTCTCTCCGTGTTTTCCTTCTAGTGGGATTTTTATACATGTGTTTTCCAACTCTGAGATAATTGTTAGATGTTTTGACACAGTGTTTAATGTGTCCTGCATGAATATTAACCACAGTTATGATTTTAAACGTACACTACAGGGCAGTGTCTGTGTACTGGGAAATGTCAGAAACACTAACCTGGTCTTTATTTATTCTTTATTGAAGAAAAGCATCTGATGACACGTGGTTTGATGAGATGTGTGTCCATTAAGTCTTCAGGTCTCCATGTGCATGACAGCGACATCTGTTGTTGCATTGGTGGAGTTGCCAATGTTAAGCAGTCGTAGTCGGTTTCTCTCTCTTTTCCTCCCGAGACCAGGTTTTTTGTTTCTTCTTCCTTCTGAGATATTGAAAAAAAAAGAATGATGAAAAATTGTACATCATTTGATTTAAAATTTATAGTTTACACTTTTTCATGAATTTTGCATCATATAACTTGTAGAACATGGCGTGATGTTTTCCAGATATTAAAAAAAAGATAAAGAATGGTGGTTTCAAAACATACTCTTCATGGAAGAGTTGTGACCTCTGAGTGTCTCTCATCATTTCATATCAGCTGAGTTCACCTAACTCCAGTTGATCCCATAAAACTGTGTCAGATTAGTTTTACACGGATGTGCCTGCTTCCAGGGCCAGAGGTTTTCTTCACCTCCACGGCTCAACAGCAGAACTGTGTCATGTCAAACAGCTGCTCTGCACATCCGACGTGTTTGAGCATCAAACTCAACTTCTTCAATCACCTGTGGCCAAACTGTTTCTAAATCTTTCACACAATCTTCCACACCAAAATAACTTCTCTGTTTCTGCTGCTCAGGAGTTTAAGACCTTTTTTCAACTGAAACATGTGGTGTTTTTCAGCAAATGGCTTAAAATCAAGTTTTATTTATTTATTAATTTATTTTTTTGCAGGAGGGTCAGTTAAATGTTCATATTGCTTTATGCTATTTTAAAGAGTGGAAAGAGTTAAAGAGATTATACAATGTCATTCATTTATAGTCTTTAAACTTAACAAATTGTTGATGAAGATCTGCATGTGTCTTTTTTCAATTTCTGCAAGAATATCAGGATTGGGGCAGTTTTTCTTTTTTTTTCAAATAATTATTATATGAAAGAAAACACACCATTCAATGTTTTTCTTTTGGCAAGAAACGCCACATGTTAAACTACTGAAACTCACTGGTCCTGGCTTTTCTGTATAAACATGAACGTCAGCCCAGTTCAGTCACATTCTCCATCCTCAGAACTTTGCTCACATTAGCACAGAAACTCAATTGTCTTTTTCATATAAAACTGGCTGTTACTTCAACCTTCAACATTGGCAACAACATCTTGTGCTTTAAAGAGACCTTTAAAATGAACAGCATGAGAAAATATTTTCAGCAATAAATGCACTGCATAATGGACGTCAGTGTCTTCAGGAGAAATCCCAAAATAGGAACATCTACACTTTACAACAACAATCACCTTTTTTCCTCTAATCCTTTCTGATGCCACTGCAAGTGTTTCATTCAGAACTTCTGGTTGTAATTATGGCAGCTCCACAGTAAAGTGGTGGAATTTTGGAACTATTACCCTTAATTTGTGTTTAAAATAATTCTAGTGAGGCTGCAAGGCTTTATATAGAGAAGACTGACATTTAGTCCAGGCCAATAACAGGAGCCGTTTCACCTGCAAACACGTGACGTGTCTCAGTCACCGTGGAAACTTGTTGAACAGACACAGTCCAAACCTTCTCTGCAGCCTTGTATTTGCAGTTCTCGATTCCACGGGCCCTCCCGTATGAGCATCTACCTTTAGACCTCTAGTTGTTCCAGCAACCAGTTTTTTGTTGCATGCAAACCATAAAAATGTAGCCACAGAGACCAAACCATGACTTTTGGAACATGAAGATTTCTACAAACAACATAAAAAAGCTGCTTAAGAAACAAATTACAGCCTAAACCGCTCCCCTGGAGGCAACATCACTTGTGTTTCCGGAGAGTGTTGGAGGAGGAATTCCTAGATTTTCCAGCCACAGCATAATTCAACACATCCTGATTTCTGACCAGATGTTGGCACGGCATCTAAGCTGCTTGGTGGAGAAAGAAAATCCTAATTCCACGCTGGAGGACGGTAGCTGATTGCTCCTCACACGTTGCTTTGAAAAATATTGTGTTTACTGCTTGTGTCAGGGGCCACGGTCAGTTCACGTGTTTTCATCAGACTTTGTCTCTTCTCTCCCTTCAGTCGGAGCTAATGTGCAGAGCGGCTGCACTGTCATCTGCCCCTGGTTAGTAAAGAGAGCCATGCTGTAGAAATCAGGATTTTTAATCCCCTCAACTCCTCTTATCCTTCTCCACAAATCAATTGTTTCCTTCTCCCTTTTCCATCACCCTCTCTCCTCTCCTCGTCATGTCTTCATTATTCTAATCTGTCCTTCATTACCAGTGATGCTGCAGTGTCTTTGATTTTGGATGCTGCCGTTGTTGGTGATTAGGTTTGTAGGCGGATTGTCCCCGAGATGCCTGTGTAGTGTAAATCTGTCTTTACGCACTGTAAGTATAAGCAGACTGGTGTGTGTGTGTGTCTGCACTGTATGCATGGTCATACTTTCTGACATAACTAACTCACATGGTTTGGGTTAACTAGGTCTACATCAGTCCTGAAGTGGCCTCTTCCCTGGACTTAAATCTTTTCCACTGGAAAATAATCCACAGTTAAAACATTAGTATTTTCACATTCACAAGATGCAGGACAATTCTATTGTAAGAGCAGCACAAACACTGGCAGTAATTATTGCTCCTTACTTCGAAGACATACGTGATCATCAACTGACGGCCCATGGGCCAAATCAAGGCCCTCGGACTGGCCATTTCGGCCAGCGTCTGGATTCCAAAATTGTGAATATCAAAGAGAAAATTATCTCATGTGGTCTCCACTGTTAAAGCAACTGAAAAAAACAACAACTGAGAGTGAAATAACTATTAGTAATGTACACCCTTTATGACTGTGTTTATTTATCTATATTCTCTATTTATTTAGTTATATTCTGATAGATTAAAATATGATTTTTAATTATTTTTTCTAGTGTCAAATATTGTTGGTGACCTCTGACATACTGTGTTAGTTTCAGCAACATCTAGTGGTGAAGTTGCATGCTATGTTTTAATATATTTTTTAAATATTTTTGGCACTTTCCAAAATATAGATATAGATTTACCATAAAATACCAATTGTATCTATTTTATTTTTTAACATTTAGGAAAACAACAAATCAGAAACATAAAAGTCAATTTTTAACTGTGGAGAATTTGTGGGAGTTCACATAACACTTAAAAATATGAATTTCAGTTTTTGACTCTGGCCAAGGTTTTCTCCGTTCTTGTTTTTTTTTTTTCTTGATCAGCTTTTGTTACTGTGTGAGGTTTTCCAAGTGGTTTGGTCTACTATGAGCCCAAACTAATGTAGCTGTGAAATTTTGCAGCATCCATGGATGCGTTAAATTGAATCCCCCGACTATCCTGATGTGAAAGTGTTCAGAGGCTTTTTGAATTCTGTATAAAGTCCAAGTATTTAGTCTCAGAATATCTGTGTATGCAGCCTTTTTCGTCCAGTGGAGTGTTCCAGTGGTGGCGTGTTTTCAGGCTTCTTTCAAGAAAGCACAGGGGCACTTCGTGGATGCTTTGAGCCTCCTTTTTATCATCTCACAAAAGGGACTCCCCAGTTGCAAGTGTTTGTGAAAAAAAGCTTATGAAAAGGGTAGATTTCTCTAGAAAACCCCACGGCCGAAAAAAAGAAAAAAAAAGTTATATTTTCCTCCTGAGGCTGAAAGAAGTCTTTGCACAATGTGTAGTTTCACCCAGAACCACATGTTGTGCTGGGAAACGAGCAGTGTTCATCAGCATAACGGATGATAAGTGATAAATCAGTGTTTCAGAGTAGCAAGGAGCCATGTGTGCCAATGAACCTAACCACTGGAAACGATAAAAACAACCATACACTTACACAAACAAACACGCACCCCTACAGGGAAACAATACAGTGAGAGGGCAGGAGCCCTAACCTCGCACAAAAGGATGTAAATTTGACTTTGGCACGTTTGATTCTGTGGTTTAGCTGCTCGGGATCCGACAGCTGTGGAATTTCTTGGGAACATTTTGGGGAAAAAACACAATGGGAACAGATTTTTCTTCCCAGTTAGCATTTGTGTATTAGCCATACGGAAAATATATGAGCAATATTAAAACATGCAACTGAATCTGAGCAGATTGAAATGCTCTGGATTTAGAAGAGATTCACAATATATTTTGACTTGGACATAATAGGGTGAGGTTTTCCTCAAATGGGACATTGATGACATTTAGAACATCTCATGACAATCGATCCATGTTGTGGTACATTTCTTTCAAAGCCACAAATATGAAGCTCATGACAGCTGTCAGATGAGTCTGGAGAACATCATCAAAGCCACCAACGGAGCCATTCTTCTGCTAACCATTAGTGTTGGTCCAAACTTTGGAGCCAACATATCAATTTGACTTTTGAGACATTCCCAGGGAGAGTGAATCTTTTAAAAATGTTTTAATGACAAAGACGGGAGAATAAAAACAGTCGGTCAGACAAATTCCTCATCTGGTGTAAATATTGTGAACTGGCAAAAATATCACGGTTTATCCTTCAATAATTGTTTGAATAATCAAACCTAGACCAAAGTGATGAAATGGGTGATTGAACCGTAAACATCCAGGCATCCAAAAGTTGATGTCAACATCATGACTCAACAGCAAATCAATTTTTTAGTTATCCCATCACTGCTCTGTTTTTCTTAATATTTATAACTCCAGGATCAATTTTAGAAATACACTGAAGAAGATGGAATGTCAGCAAAGGCAAGAGAGAAAACAAAGTGTGTAAATAAGAGCGAGGCAAGAGGAATGATAAAGCTGGGGGAGTAGAGGAAGTGAAGAACGAGAATAAGTATTATTATTTAAAAAAACAAAAACAAATATAAATAAAGAACAGGAAATGCAGTGAAAATGGCAGTGATTTGTGACAGGAGAATAACAGGTTGATAAGACAGCAGTGAGATCTGCTATGATTTATGGTTTACAGTAGTGATGGACCATTTCTGATTCACTATCACACCAATTTAAATCTTTTGGCATTTTTTTAACAATGATAAAAAACAAACAACACTTCAACAGTGTTTGGTTGATCAGTGGCACTTAAGGTTTAACAGGATTAACAGGAAAAAACATTTTTTTTTTTTTTTTAATTTTCAAAGCAGTGTCGGGAGAGAATGAGGGAGAATGAGACAAAAAAAAAAGACGTAGTGCAGAAAGCTGCCTGTTCTCTAATGAG